GATATGAGTAAGTTTGATTCTTATATAGATATTTTGGGAATTTATTCCAGCTACATTGAGAATTGAGAGAAAATGTATCTCAAAACCCATCAAAAAGGAAAAATAACTATCAAACCAAAGTGACCAGTACTTGTTTCGAATAATTTTCGTATAAAACTGAAAACTACACTATTTTCAAAAATACATAAATAAATAAATAAAAATTAACGAAATAGTATAAAGTCATATAAACTGACGTTGTTAAGCGCGCTGCATCTTTTAGATTCAATGGCCTCTGCCACCCGAAATGTGAAGAACTCACCCTCGTCCTTGAAACTGAACCCTAGGGCGAGTGACAAAAGGCAGATGGAAGAAGGAGGGACGTGTTCCAACCTACCGTGTGGACACAATATCGAAATTCTTTTTACTATGCATCTGAGAGATTCACGCGCCTAACGGAGGGTTACAGGCAAAACGTGTAGATGCACGTTAAATTGGAAGCTCGTAGAGTGGTTCTTTGTGGCATGACTAAGGTTTAAAATAGCATGGTCAACTGCCAACAGCTCTCGTGTTATTAAGCAGTGCAACTTTACTAAGCAATCAATAAATTAATGAGTGAGTTACAGATTTATAAAAATCGCCTTATATAGCAAGACGAGATCTATTGGCGACCAACCTCAAAATTTTGAACATCGGTGAGATTAAATGAAATGGATATTAATGTCGCATTATAAATTTGGCTGAGTGATATTGGCGGTGAACATCGTAATTCTAAACCATAGTTAAGTGACCAGGAGGACATTTGAGCTAGCAAATTATCCTCTCTACTCTAACTTCTACATCATGCCAACTAATAAAATTATAGTACTTATCAATTTATTTTTACCATTCCTACTATTACCTCATACACTATTTATTGATTTATTTATCTTCATGGAATTTTCAATCGTTAATAAAATACATTTTAAAGCACTCAATTGAGCTGAAATTTTATATACATAATAATTTCGAAAGACAATACAGTAATTTAATTGTAATTAATAAAAATGAATGAATTAAAACTAATTATTCAAAGAATTACAAGTACAGCTACATTGGTAACATTTTTGGCGACTTGCGACCATTTTGGCGTGTCAAAACTAGAAAAGGTTTTTTTTTTGTCCCATTTTAAAGCGCTCATTTCAGCTGAAATTTTGTATACACTATTGTTCTGGATAAAAATAGGAACATTTAGTTATAATTCATTAAAATGAATTGAATAAAACTAATTATTTAAAGAATTACAGATACAGGCACGTTGGTTTCATTTTTAGCGACTTGGGACAAAACTTTATATATAAAATATTTTTTTTCTCCCGTTTTAAAGCATTCATTTGAACTGAAATTTTACGGACACCATTGTTTTGGATGACAAAGCGAAACTTAAATGATAATGAATAAAAATAAATTACCACTTATATAATATTGTGATTCTATCCTATGTATATGCATATTTATATTAATTGTAACTATTTAATAAAAAGTAGCTAAAATAAAATTTTTCTTTGTTGATCGAAGTAGGAATTGACCTAAAAAAATTTTTTTTATATTACTTTGTTTTTTGACAAATGTGCACTTTAATTTCCCACCACACTCTTATTTAGCAATGGATATTTTTACATTTTTTTTTATTTGCGTAACATTTTATACCGCTCGTTAAAGTTACAGGCGATTTGTATATAATTACTGGTTTACATATTATTTAAATAAGAAAATAATTTATCAGTAAATATAAAATTTTGTATGCAAAAATAGTTCATTGGATTTGATTTACAAACAAATAATATATATAAAAAAATAAACCCCAATTCCTATTTAGATCAACGAAGAAAAATTTTGCTTTAAATAATTGAATTTAATTAAGGAGTTTATATATATATATATATATATATAATATTTGAAATAAAACTGTATTAGCATTAAGTGTTATACACAACAAATTAAAGAAATATATATTTGAAGCCAAGAAAAAATTCGTTAGAAAAACTGACTGGTGTCATCTGTGTGTGTTGGTACTAGCTCTAACTTCATCAGTGAGTGAGTGAATATTAACGTCGCACTGTTCAGCTCCACGAGGGCTTTTGGCGACGAACCACGTCATTTTAAACCATAGTCAAGTGACGTGGACGACACTTGGGCTGGCTCCCCCCTCTCCTAACTTCCGCACCACACCAACGGGAGGACATTTCAGCTCTCGACAGATTTAATGTGCATTGATGCCCTACACGGCAGTTCTTTAGTGGTACTGGGCTCGAACTCATGACATGCATGCCATTATTCGATACCTTGACCACTGGGCTACCGCAGCCCTATAACTTCTTCAGAAATAAGCAGAATGAATTTAAAACTATAAAAGTTAATTAATTAATTAATGTTTGTGAAAAAAGCTGTATAAACAATAAATATCCTCCACTACAAGTTTAAAAAATCTATTTGAAGTTCAGTGCATGAATAAAAATTATTTTATTAACGATTGAAATTTCGAACACGATATATATGTAAAAAAATACAGTAGAACCTGTTTTTGTGCGGTCTTTTTTTATGCGATTTCTTTTTTGCGATTTGTTTTGTGCGATAATTTATTTTATGCGGTGTATGAATTTCAATGGCTTTGGTGCCACTGTAATGTTTTCTGTCTACTTACCAGTGGCGTAACAGAGAATGCTAGGACCCCCTGAAAGTCAGGTTTTGCCTTTAATATTTTATAAATTGGGTAAATACGTAATTAGCATTAGTCAAACCTTGGGCTCCTAGAGTCCTTCACCCTCCCCCCGTGGCGGGACTCAATGGCTTTGGCACCACTGTAATGTTTCTATCTTTTTACCAGTGGTGCAACGGAGAATGTTAAGAGCCCAATATATTCAGGTGTTGCCTTTAATGTCTTATAAATTGGGTAAATACGTATTTAGCGTTAGTCAGGCCTTGAGCCCCTAGTGTCCAGCCCCCCTCCCGTGATACGGGGGTGTAGACTACGCCACTGAAATGTAGACACTTCAAGACGCTATGTTCATTTGTTATAACGTCTCCCGACAATGCGCATTCGGTTGTTTTCTCTCAACGCTCCAGCAGCCCGTGCTAGATTGAAGACGAAACTTTCAATGACAGTGACATTATCAATAATTTGATGGATTATGAAGACGGACAAAAAGAACCGGATTCTTAGAGAGCGGATAAAAATGTGCTTAACCTAGCTTTCCAAAATATTGGAAAAGCATTTTCTTAAAATAGATACCAATCAAGAAATTAATATATTCCAAAAGGCTTCAATCATGCATATTTGGTTATCGTGACATTTATAAGCCACTTGTGTGTGTGTGTGTGTGACCACCCGTACTTCGTCACAAAAACTTATCTCTTACTTTATGCTGCCAAAAAATAAATCAATTGAAATTGTAACTTCAAGGGACGAAAAAGCGATTTTGAACTTATTTATTACAGAGCTTTGGATTACGATGAGTAGCAATGAATTACGTATGTACAGTTTGAAAAAACTTATCCGTGTATACAATGAGAAACTAAATGTTTTTAAAATGTTTCCATGTTTAATATTAAATTACTGATTTTGTTATGAAAGAATTTTTTCATAAATTTCGTAAATAATTGGCATATTTTATAAATGCGACTTTTTTTATGCGGTCCCTATCCACCGCATAAAAAAAAGTTCTTTGTATTATTCCCACGAATAAGTTTGTTATATGTAAGAATTTATGATATCTTTGAATATATTTTGTGCGTTTTTTTTTTTACGTGGTCCCTATCTACCGCACAAAAACAGGTTCAACTGTATATATATAAGGAGAAAGTAAACTAATAGTAGGAATTGAAAAAAAAATGTCTGTAATTTCTTGAACTGTTAGATGTACATTTATAGAGATACCACTGAACAAAATACTAGCTGTCTAATTTCTGACCCATATATTAAGTGGGAAAAAATAAACGCAAAACTAGGAAACTGCATTTGTAATTTTCAGGAGTAACGGAAATTAGGTTAAGTAGTGTAAATCAATCCTGCCGTAAGCAATCAATCGATAAGACGAGTTTCTTACCTTTCCTATAAAAAGAAAAGAGATTTCTCGATAAATACTCTTGCCTGGCTTTAGATCTAATATTTACTTTTTTTCGCATGACCTAAGGTTACATACGAAGATTGCAAAGTGACAGGGAATGTCGCTGAATTCCAATCAGTTTTTTAAAGGACGTTTAGGAAAGTTAATGAGAAGTATTTGACAAAAGAAGGCAAATCATTGATTGTTTTTTAACGTCTCTTCACGGAGCACTTCTCTACACGGCAGATTTTCAGTGGCGTGAGTGATATTAACATCGCCCTGTTCAGCCACAAGAGGGCTTATGGCGACGATTTTGAACCATGGTCAAGTGACGTAGATGACACCTGAGCTAGCACCACCTGTCCTAACTACCACACCACACCATACCAACGGGAGGACGTTTCAGCTTTCGACAGATTTAATGTGCATTGCTGCCCTACACGTTGGTTCTTTAGTGGTACTGGGCTCGAACTCATGGCATGTCTGCCATGATCCGATACTTTCACCACTGGGTAACCGCAGCGCTAGATTTTCGGTGGCACATGGACTCAAGCCCAAGACACTCCAGTCACGAGTTCGCGATCTTACTATTAAGCTAACAGTTTTGTCAGTTATCGAAGAAATGAGAAAAACAAGTAATATATATATAAAAAAAACATTTTTTAAATCAATTCCTACTTAGGTCAACCAAGAAAAGTTTTATTTCAGTTATTGTTTATTAAATAATTACAATTAGTATAAATATGTATATACATAGGACAGAATCACAATATTAAGTGACAAAATAGAAAGAGATTATTCATACAATTTTCCATTTTCAATTCTATATAGGGTGTGGGACTATTTTTTGTTTTTTACTATTTATTCATTAATCAAATTGAATTATTCTAATAAAATAGTATAGTAAAAAAGAAATCACATTCTCAGAAATTAGGCTATCCCAGTTGGGATTCGAACCCAACTGGGATGCAATGGATCTTGGATTATATATCCAACGCGTTATCTATTGCGCTTCAGGGACACAACAAGCGATTTTTCTTTTTATATATGGTGTTGGATTATTATTTTTGTTTGCTACTATTTATTCATTAATTAAATTTAATTAATGAATTATTATTTGCAAAATCTGTATTAACCTCAAGTGCCATCCAACTTTAAAAAAAAATATGTTTGAACGTTAGTAGATGAATAAAAAAATATTACATATATGATAAAACTTGAGTGCTTCCTAATTTCTCGTGGCTGAACTGATTTTTTTTTAACGAAAGTAATTATTTTAGACAGTTCATGTTTTGCGTTTGATTGATATTGACGAAAAGACAGGGCGTGTGGTGGGAGGATTGATTCCTGTATATTAAATACATTTTCTAAGCTGGTTGATGTTGCGTATTCAATGTTATTGGCAAAGTGTTTTAAGTGAATCCAGTTTAATGCATATCTTGAAACATATAAACGTAAAGCATGGACGACACTACACAGAACAAAGAAACTACGACACTACGCAATGCAGCCGGCTACATGATTAAAGACACAGACGGAAGAGAGTGGAATTTCCAATGATCTCGGTATTTATACCCAGCGGAACATCACATGATTTTGGGGGGTGGATCGATGTAGTTCCAGAAGTCCCCGTTAGGCGGGTAACTAATTAAAATAAATAAACGGTTGTCCTGATGGATTGGACCACAAATAAATCAAGAGCTATTAAAGATTACTGGGAAATATTACTGGGAATTATCACATTTATATTATTGAGAGAGACAGTGAACTAACTAATAGTTGGAATTGTGAAAAAAAGTGCGCAGTGCTACATGATTTGTTGAATTTTTTAATGAAATTAAAGCTTGATTACGCAAAAAAAATATTTTAACGTCGAATTCCATTTATGAATCTTCATTTTTTTTATCATTATTTTAAAAGGGAAATTTTGTTAATGATCAAATGTTTAAATTGCTTTTGCAATTAATACGTGTTTTAATTCGAAAATATCAAGAGTGATTTTGAGTGACAGTAGAGAGTGAAAATTCTAAGAGTTAGCACATTTTCCGAAGAGAGTTATATTCTAATTTATCTCGTAACATCGGACTATCGCAGCCCCTCTAAATTTAGAAGGGCTGCGCTAGATAATATAGACAACTATTTAATAGATAATATAGTTAGATATGGACAGTTTACTTTATCTGACCATTCCTTGATATGGTTAGCTGGAGTACTAAAATATAAATTCGAGATTTATCGAAATCTTAAAAAATAAATTTAATAATATTATTATTATAGATAATAATAGAATAAAACAAATAGATTGAAATAAATACAAAAACGGTTGCTTTTATATATTTATGTATTTATAGTTATTGATTTTTCATATAGTATTTTTTGTCTAAGTGTTCCATATTTCCATCAACGTATTCCGGTTTTGGAATTGACGTTTTTATTCTACATCGTCAATAATCTTGCGATAGTACGTAATTATCTTTGTATCCCAATAGAAATTGAAATTAAATATATCTGTAGTTCCTACTTGTTATATTAGGATAATTCTTTATTGATAGCATTTGAATACATATTATCCAATTAAGCTCACATTCTCTCTATATTTATTTATTTATTTATCTTCGTGGAAATTTCAATCGTTACTAAAATACATTTTAAAGCACTCAATTGAGCTGAAATTTTATATACATGATAATTTTGGATGACAATACAGTAATTTAATTACAATTAATAAAAATTGATCAAAACTAATTATTTAAAGAATTACAAGAACCGCCACGTCGGCTTCATTTTTAGTGACTTAGGTCAAAACTTTAAAAGATTTTTTTTTCCCGTTTTAAAGCAGTCAGTTGAATTGAAATTTTATAGACACGATTGTTTTGGATGACAATACGATACTTTAATGATAATTAACAAAAATTAACTACCACTTAATGTTGTGATTATGTCCTATGTATATACATATTTATATTAATTGTAACTATTTAATAAAAAGTAGCTACAATAAAAAAAAATATGTTAATCTAAGTAGGAATTGACTTTATTTTTTTAAAAATATATTGCTTGTTTTTGATTATGATACGTTTGAACAGATTCCAAAATACCTAAAATCCGTATCGGAAGAAAAAATATATGTTGCCACTTCTTTACATTTAATCCACTCCTTGAGAAACGATCTGTGTACTTTAAGCATTAAAAGCTTTTCATTCACAACGGTATTCAGTATATTTAAAATCTAGATAACATACCCGAAACGGAAACTGAGATATCTACACATGTTTAGTAGGTATTAATACGAATACACATCACGCACATATCTTCATCATAAACTCATCGCCCGTTCTTCCAAAAGGGAATCTCAAACCAGCGGATGCATTGATTTGAAAGATGCTCCAACCTACCCCTTTGACGAGGATTATGTTGTCTCGCAGTTTCAACATAGTTGCGAAGTTTAATTAATGTAGTAGAGTTCTTAAGCAAACAAGTAGACCAACTGAACACAGCGCATTCCTGTTTCGTTAACGTCTATTTTTGTTATGTCTCCGAATAACTGTATTGTACGAAACTAGTTAGGGCTTCACTGCGAAGTTAATTTCCTTTAGAATTGTTATAGAATTAAAGAAGGCTGGGAATAATGGAAAAAATATAAATAGGAAACGAAAGAATGCAGAGGATGTTTTTAGTTCACGTTATTTAAGAGGATTTGATGCCCTAAAAATGACGTAAAATTCCATTTTGAGATTTTATTGGATAGCCAAGACAGTAACTTTCATTTTTCAGTGTAAATCTTTTCTGTACTGAAAATAAGTTTAATATATAAGTCAAATATCTTCCATTCTGTTTGGTTATCTGTTGCCATTTTTCTGGCATTTTCATGATTCCGAGCTCAGATAGTTTCTAGTTCTTATCAGGTAAAAACTCAATCAAGAGCGATTTGAGGTCATCATTACTACTGAAATTTTAAACATTTAAAGTTTCCTTTCTTAAACTGTGGAGCACGTCCCCCTAGAGAGGCCCCTCTAATAGGAGGGGTGAGCAAATGGAAAAGTTGAAAATAAAAGATTTAAAAAAATATAGTAATTTAATGGCAGGAAGCAAAACAAAATGCATTCTAATATAATAAAAAAATGAAAGGCATATTTACATTGATATAATACACTTATTGAGACATTAGTACTGTTCAATATATTTGATAAAAAAATTATCAGTAACAAGTTATGAACAAATTTCATTCTTATTAGTGACTCCCAATGGCTTGTCACATACAAAATTATGTACAAAATTTAATACATTTTAATAATTTTCACGGTCTGTAATTGTAGTCATTTTGCAGCTTTAGCATTAGAGTACATTATTATCGCATTCAATACATTGCTGTTAGGGATTGCAATACCGGTCTACTGGTATACCGAATACCGGTGTTTTGAGCCATTCGGGCAATTTTTTAATACCGGTATTCACAAGTTTAAATACCGGTTTTTCGGTATTTACTAGAAATCTCTCTCTCTTTTAAATTGTCTCCACTATATGTTCAGAGATCGCCAGCAAAGTAAAATGGTATACGTTTTTTTTTTGTCTCTCTAACAGACGAAATTAATTAGATTGTGAATATAAATTTGCATCGTACAATTAAGATAAGTCATAAAATATGTGAATCATCCAAGTTGGCAGGCCAAAACTATTCTATTACAGCTCAGGGCGATAGTGCACCGCGTAGGATCCGTGTAGTATGTTATTCGTATCTGTAACAATAAAGTTGTAGTTGTGAAGAAAGTGCGTACTATTTCGATATTTTTTTAAATTGGTGAGTTTATTATTCACATTTGTATTTTGCATATCATACTTTAGGGTTAAAAATATTTTTCAGATTCATTATATATATATATACTCATAAATAATAACCCATATTAATGAATAAGAATGACTTTAAAGAACACAGAAATTCAGTTGATAATACTTCAGTCTGGTTTCATTATTTGTATGAGAATATCGTGCATTTTAAATGTATATCATGCATTGCTAACAGTATTACCAACTTATGTAAATGCCGAAAGAGCGTTTTCGACAGCTGGTAATTTTTGCACATTATTATGCTCCAGGCTTAATGACAATACAATTGATGCATTATGTTTTTTAAGATCACATTTCAAAAGTTTGTAATACTACCACAGACTAAATAGTGATATTTGCACTTTTTGTGGCTTAAATAAATAAGATGTCCCTTTACTTTTTTGTGATTATAATTTATAATTTATAAGTAACAAATTATTTTTTATGATATTTACACTTTAATAAAACTGGCAAATAAAATAAAGAAACACCTATCTTTTCTTTATTTTTCTAAAATTTCTACTATCGGTGTTAAAATCGGTATCCCAGTATTAAGACCTAAAAATGCCGAATACCAGTATTAGACTTTTGGTCCGATATTGCAATCCCTAATTGCTATTATATGGGAAAGAAGCGCAATGAAAATTCATTGAAAATTGGGTCGCGTACGTGAGAAGTTTGAGAAGCAATGATTTAAAGAGCTTCGTAAGCTTTAATATACTGTAAAATCCCGCGTGTAACGCGCAGCCATACTTTTAAGCAGTTTTTTTTTTAGTTTTTAGGTATATTAGGAACATATTTTTAGTTATAACACGCACTCCCTTTCTTATTAAGGAACCTGAAATGTACGTATGCACTACTACGTTTTGAAGTCATTTATCCGATGCATTTTCCCAGGATTTTGATAAAATAGTATACATCTAGAACTACAACCCCTTATTTTCATTAGGTATGAAATTATTCATACCTAATGAATCAGATAGGCTTAATTTCATTAGATATGCTTAGTTTCATTAGGTTATTCTATTCTTTTGGATTTTTAAGCTTCTTCTCATTTTTATATCCGAAGTATAACGCGCACCCGTAAATTTCAGCTTTATTTTTTGTGTCAAAAGTGCGCATCATACGACGGATTGTACGATTCCTGATAATCTAATGGTGCAAGGTCGCCGATGAAAAATGGATCGACTACAGTAA